TTTATTTTTTATTTTTTTTAAACCATTTCCTCTCGGTGCCCTCTGAGGGAACGGATCTGTGCAGGCGTAGCAGTTACTGCTACTTTGTGCATGTGTGTGCGTATTGACCTCCTAAAAGCCCAATGGATTTGGGTATCTTGGGAAATTTCCTCCAAATTGGACTTTAAGCGGACATGAGGGTGCTTAATGAGGTGTTGATCAGGAGTACGGCACCGGCGCCCTCAGAAATGGGGGTGGGGGAGTGAAATAGTTTTCCAGCGTGGACGATATTTACACAGAGGATTATTCTGCCCTGGTCTCGTTTTGCCATGGCGATAAAGAGGTCAGGTCCCCTGTGAGGTGGAAAATTAGACTTTGCAATGTTACGGATTAAATTAAAGCTCAAGATACTCGATTTGTGATCGAGATGTCGCACTAAATGTAAATTATGCGTCAAAACACCTGCTGTTTCTTGTTATATTCTGTATCAATTCACGATTGAATCGACGTTGCTTACATTTAAACATAGCAGATACGCTTGAGGTCAGGGGCTTATGTTAAAATCCACTACAGCATGCTCTCTACACCAATAGGAATAAGGCGGCGCCTCTACACCCATGTTGCTGTGACTCCTGAATGTTTGTGCTCCTGCAACAATTTCTGCCCTGCAGGTTTTCTCCATCAGGCACGGTCAGACGGGCGCCAGCGCTCACACCTGACCGCAATCTTCTCATCAGTCTGCTACGGGACAAAGAAAGCTGCCGGATGACCGTTCTTGGCCCGATGATCAACCTTTGAGGCACAGCCAAGCGTCAAGGGAATATTTACCTCTGAGACAAAGGAGCCTTCTGAAGAATACAACGCTTGTCTTTTGCTGTTTTTTTGGGGGGGTGAAAAAAGAACTAATTACTGGAAGCATTCCAGTCAAGCGCAGTCTTCTTCATCTATTGACTCAAAGTATGAAGAACAGCTTGATTGGACGATTTGAAATGAGCTGCTTCATTCTGATTGCATTCTCCACAGAGCTGCTCAGTTATCATGTGACTGTTCTGTTTCATATTAAGCTATCGTCATGGAGCTTTAGATATGTGAAGCTGTTTTTTATGGTGAAAAATATTGTTTTTTTTATTTTGATGAATAACACTTTCTTGTTTGATCATCCTCTACGGTGTAATCTAGTAAACAATCCTGGGATTATGAGGTTCCGGCTTCCATGTGCTTCTGTGGTTGACCAATGGACAGACACACTGTTAATATTTTACCTATTCCCTGTTTGCTGCATCAGAAACAGATAAATTAAGATAAATACAACATGCAGTTCAAATTATTTAAGGGAATAAAGTCTTCCAGATCAACCTGATCCCATGGGGAAAATGTAACTGTCATCCTTTTTAAATGCCAGATAAATTGTGACAAGCGCTTTTTCAGTTCAGTTTCATTACTACTAATGTCAAAAAAATGACTAAAGTAGCACCTGAAAATAGACTCAAACATCTGAAACAATTAATCAGGTCAAAAAGCCATGAAACAGTAAAGAAAATCTATAAAGTATCAAGTCTTTTTTCCATCTCTATGTTCATTAGAAACGGTCTGATTTAAAATCTACTTTGATTTTGCAGCTTCTGTGTCTGAAATATTACACATCTGTTCTGTCAGCACAAGATTTAAAACAAATACTTATTCACTGAATACAATCAGTGCCTACAGAAAAACGCCTTTAGTTTTTGGTTTTTTTGCTTCTTTTTTTTCCATGGTTATTTGGAAACTTCAAGGGGGACATTAGCGTCGCCAAAGCCATATTTTACTCCTTGGGGATTGAGATTCCATTCACTAATATTTAATCACGGATTCTGGCATGCGATCCTTTGATCTGTTATTTTTGCTCCGACAAAGAAATCTTGTTGGCATTCAGTAAAAGTGGCGAGGGACGGGATTAACCTAGAAGTGAACCGGACTTCAGAGGCCCAGATGGCCAGTCTTGACCACTCGATCAGGCCATTCGGGGAAAATTGCCCGCGTTGGATATAAGGGTGTCACATGCCTTTTTTTCCCCCTTCCATCAAAGTCCTGACATTCATTTCCACTCAATCTATGCCACTTTCCTTACTTTTTCCCTCTCCTTTTTCTGTTGTGCATTAAAGTCATTAAAGTCACTCTGTGTCTGGTCTCTCAAAGACAGTTGTTTGCTACAATCCGAGACTCTTCGCAGTTTCCAAGATGAAATAGGAAACAAAATGTTCCCAATTTTCTTCTGTCACCAATCCTGTTTCCCTTTCTGCCTTAGATTTGCGTCATACATGTCCGTCTCCTTCACACGCAGCGACTTGGATTTTAACGTGCAAAGAAACATACTCGCTTCTTTTGTGCACTGGGACGCAAGGGGTTGGTGTTGCTAACTCCATTGGGAAATCGTGGGATTGATTTTTGGCTGCAGTAATTGTGGTTTCATGCAGATGAAAATGTGTTAAAATATGGAGGCCTTGCAAACGAATTCGCAGTCGATACGAAAAGAAACGGTGTGTTTTATAGGGATTGTACAAAATGGATTGAGAAAAGTTCAGGTATTTATTTTGTAGAGAATCTGTAAAACTTGCCACAAATATGGTTTCACGCCAATTTGACTTATCTTGAGATATCTCAATAAACAGAGTTTCAGTTTCTAGACACAAATGGAGATAGAAGTGACTCTCAGTTTCATGCCAAACTTTCTAGATTTTTAATCAGGAAAAAATGATTTCAATCAGACCTTTTCATTCCACTGACATCTACTTTGTCCATTACATGAGGTGGCCATGTGACAAAACATAGAAAATAATTATTTACTTTTGCAAGTTGCTGTATGCAATCTACATAAAACGACACTGCGAGCGCATCACCCAGGTTCAGGCGTTTCCTCATGCAAAATACGATCCAAAAGTACCAGAATGGACTTCTACACAGACTCCACTCACTCTGGGAGCCCAACAATTAGTTTGGCTGCAGCTCAACAATCCATTATGCGTGGACCGACCCCGGGGGCGGAAGCCCCTTTTTTTTTTTTTTTTTTTTTCTTCTCCTCAGCAGTGGGCCTGTTTCCCACCGCCTGAGCTGAACTATGAAGCTGCAAGACTTCACAGAGGGGAGAAAGAGTGACTTCAAAGGTTGGGGATGATTGGCTAAGATCTATGCAGAGTGTGACACAGCGACACACACACACACACACACACAAGGTGCACGTTTGTGGATTTAGATCTTCCACACCATGGAGCGGAAGAAGGAAATGCAGATAGTCTTCATTTATTTTCAGATGATTATGGATTACATCTCTGAATATTACAGATGTATGTTTAAAAACTCCCCAAATGCTTACATCTCTAAGGAGAAAAAAAGGTTTTGACTGGGCAAACTCATGTTTACAATTGTGATGGTAGGACATAAGGACAACGGGGGTTAAATAGCCAAACGCGTTGTGCAAATTGATGCATAAGGAGCAAGTGTACAAACTTAAACCTTTCAACTTAATGTTGTGAGGAAATGATCCGACACACAGTTACGTTCATGCTTTAAAATAAAGTGGCTACAGCTGCGATAAAGTCGGTCATGCAAATCATTTGAAAATAAGATGAGTCCAGCAAAGCAAGAAAGCCGTTCAGGATGCTTTTCTTTGTAACTTACAGCTTTGTGCGTTTTTTCTCCTATGGTTTAGCTCAAGGTTTCAGCCATTAGAGATTACTGGGAAACACTGGAAAGCAGATAATCCATTTTGTTTGTTGTTGTTTTTTTTGTTTTTTTTATCTGCGGATAAGTGCTAATCTCCCGAGGTAAAAACAATTTCACAGAAAAAAAATATTTATAGATGTTACAGGGCCTCGTAGAAACAAATACCACTCATTTTTATTAGACGTTTTATCAGATTACAACCACAAATTTCAATGTATGTGTGTATGTTCACCTGTTGCACCAACACAGAGTGCGACATTTCGCAGAGGAAGGAGAGTCGCACATGGATTTCTGACTGTTTTGCAAATCAAAATTGAAAAATTGTCTGAAACATTCATGCATATAAATATTTATTTTATTTGCTTTTTTTTCTAAGGCTTTTCTTTAACTTCCCACCACCTCTGAGCCACTTATCTGTTGCTATGGAAGCAAAGAATCCCCACAGCATGATGCGACTATCACCGTGTTTCACTATGGGGTTAATGTCAAGCATTTGCAAGCGTTTTGTCTTTTGCATTGGGTCCAAATCTTCATTTACTTCATTATTTTAGAAATGAAACCTTGATAAACAAATATATAAAAATGCTGAATATTTTTTTTATTTTAAAAAGTGAAAAAAATCTTTAAAAATGATGCACAGAATTGGTAAACGTGAACTGTGAGACTCTAAAGTTGCTTTGAATTGGCAAAGCTAAAAACAAATGCGTTCAAAGGTAAAACGTTTCAACATATGGAAATAAATTTTCCCCGATGTATGAGACCGTAAAAAATCAATTTCTCCGTGCCTTGATGTTTTATTTGACTCGAGTTGAAGGGAGCAGGAATACCGTAGCAAAACGCCGCAGCAAGACTTTCTGCCAATGTGCTCCTTTCTTTTACTGGATTGCTGTAAACACTTTTAAGCAGCCTTTCTATTGCCTCCTGTCACCGTTTTGTTCAAGCTCGCCTTGGAGTCCTTTCAGAATCATTTGTTGCAGTCTCTTTGTATATTTTCTTTCTTTTTTTTTTTGTTCTGCGATATTTGAACCTTGGCACTGTGTTTTTGCTGAAAGCTGCTGATTGTTCTTTGCACGGGGTCACGGAGGTAAATCACACAAGAAGCAGAATTACATTATAGCTTATTTGGAGGCCACAAGGTTTCACGGGAGCCATCCATCAAATGTTTGAGGGGCTTTTGGAGCCCACGAGGAGAGGTGATTCTGCAAACACTGCATAGCGCACCCCAGGTAAATTCCGCTGAGCAAATCAGGAATGGATCACAAGCGCTCACCTCTCTGGAAACAGACATGGCCAGAAGGCAGGGAAAAGGTGGATCAAATAATCCAACCTGGTTTTGTTTTGTTTGTTTGTTTTTTTCCGGTAAGATGCAACTGCAGCTTTTCGGCATAGATAAACAATACTTAGAAAGCATTTTTATAACTCTGAAAGGTCCAAAATTAAGTATTGAAAGTACTTTTTTGTGAGTTTTTGAGCTTGTGGGCAAAAATGCTGATTTAAAAGGAAAGTTTCACTTTTTTTTTTTTTTTCGTTTAGCTGATTTTTATGAAAGCCGGAACATTAAAGGAATAGTTTACATTTTTGAAGTTTTCGCAATTAAAAAAATAAAAATATATCTTTGTATAAAAGTAAAGAGACCAGAGTTTGTTCACAACACAGCGGTGATAGACTGACAGGAAACTAGCTGAAATATAATTACGTAAAAAGTAGATGATATATTAGTAGACATAAGAACTACAAACTCACAAAAACCAAACAACTTCTTTGTTGCTGTTTTGCAACGATAGGCAATTAATAACTTGTCACATTACTTTGTATTTCACTGAAAAAAAACATTCAAATGTTGGAGTTTGTACAGCAGCTCACCTACATTATAAACTGATGGGATTTGCTTAACAAACTCTTTAAGGCTTTACAGATCCCTTTCCAATTTTGTTCTTTTTTTTTCTTTTTTAACAGTTTTTCCTTCCACTTAATTCTCCAATATGCTCATATCCCTCTACATGCGATTCATAAAGTCAAAATTTAGCTTAAACTATCTAAATGAATGAAATTTTTGATGACATTTTGATTTATTGAGATGATCTAATCTCAGCTTCAATCATCTTTAGGTGTACATTATTTTTTAACATAAAAATATGGAAAATAGAAGCATAATATTTGTGTTTGTATCCTTAATCATTATGTTTTTGGTTATGTTTTACTTTTCTGTTAATGTTGATATCTAAGCACTGCAGTATCGCATTCTCTATTCTCCATCATCAGCACTTTTCACAAGCGCTTAATTGCAATCGCACAAACGTCTTGGCACACGCTGCCTTATTAGATTTGCATGGGCTGGCGACCTGCACGTACATTGCCTTTTAAAAGTTATGAAGACAGGCTTTTAGAGAGCCGCAACCCGAGCGGAAAGAGTGGAGCCTTGTGTTTGGGGGGGCTGCTTGTTAATTACGAGGTTTGTCCTCGACTGCACTCGCCTTTCCAGACGCTGTCTGAGCCAGCCGCCCCGCCAGGCCCAGTCATGAGTGGCCTAATGGCACCCCGTGATACATGACACAGGAGTCGGCGTGCGTTTCACACTTTGGGCTGCTTTATGCCTCCGGATGGCTCTACATCATGTCCGGGGTGCGAGGCGCCAAGTTTAGCACATTTACAACTATTATCCCTTTCATCTCAATAAAAGTTTCAATTAC